TCGCACGTGGAAACGACAACACCCTCAAGAGAATCTCTTATACACATCTAGATGTGTATAAGAGACAGGTGTGTGTGTGTGTGTGTGTGTGTGTGTGTGTGTGTGTGTGTGTGTGTGTAGACACATGCTGCGGCTGCAGCAGCGGGCCTTCCACAACGCCTTCCACCCCCTTTCCCAACCCCAACACCTTTTTCCGTTTTTTTTTTTTTTTTTTTTTTTGCTCTGAAAGGTCTCAAAATTGTTTTGGGGGGTCCCCTGGTGGTGCGCAGCTCCTTCCCTCCTTTTTTTTTTTTAGCTTTCCAGATTTGGACAAAATGAGTTGTCTGGGATCCCGGACAACTCCACACGGGCTGTCCGGCCATGACAACCGATCATCTGACAATTGGTAGCCTAGCTTGTAAGGGTATTTGGTATGCCCAAGCAGGGCAACAACATTGCTGCCTGAATGGGTTTGGGTATACCCCAAAGTTGCCCCACCAGGGCAACAGCATTGCGGCCTGAATGGGTTTGGCAATATTCCAAACTTGGCAGGCCCGGAAGTCAGGGCACAAGATTTCCCAGCTTTCTGAGAGGAGTAAAACGCAAAGATGAAAGTGCAAGAGGTCATTGGGGTCTATCCAGGCTGTTTTTTGGGGATTTCAACATTTTCATAATCTTGAGGGGCAAAACGAAAATGCTCCCTTCTAATCCTTCCGCAGGGGCCATGGTAATCTTCTCATTATTGTTCCAATTTTAACGGATGTCCCTGTGGACAGCCGCAGATTTTGATTGGCGAATACATGTCCGTACGAAATCTCGTGAAAAAAAGGTAAAAGGGAGATAGGGCCTCGCCGCAGCACTCACCAAGTGCAGGAACTACAAAAGTTATGGGCGTGTTTTTTTCCATGTTTTTCTCCCAAGATTCATCCCACTTCGCACAGTTTTTGTGACTGGTGCGGCGAGACCCTGTCCGTATCCGTACGGAAAAGGGGAAAGAAGGAAGGGAAGGGTGAGGTTGATTTCCTGCAAAAAAAAAAAGGGGTAAGGTTGACGTCACAATCCATGCGCATCCTCGTCCTTCTGTCGTGCGTCAGGCAGTCGTTTTGAGCCCCCCTCGGAGAGTGCTGGAAAGGCAACTCCATCGCCAGCCCGCGTCGTCGATGGCTACGGTCACTTCGCCGGCTAAGTAGAGTTGGCCTGGTCGCTCAGGCACGCGCGCTCCGCACAACGCTGATTGCAAGTGCGGCGTGACGGGGGTGAAGAGGGAACCCCTTCACAAGCTAACGGAAATTCGCCGAGTTCGCCGGCGGAGTGGAGTTGAGTTCGCCGGCGGAGTGGAGTTGAGTTCGCCGGCGCCACCGAAGTGGAGTTCGTCGGCTAAGTGGAACCCGCTCATTGCAAGTGGAGCGGCGCAAACATATATGGCCGGTCGCTCGTCTCTCTTGAAAGGTCGCACGTGCTCGCCTTATGGATGTGTGCGTGTAGCGGGGGGGGCGTTTTTTTGCTGAACAAGTCTGCGGCGCGGCATACTCTCGTCACAATACTAGTTGCTTTTTGACGGATCTCTGCCCGGAATTGCGTACAGGTGCATCCAGCGAAGGTCGTAATTCCGGTCAGATACGTTCGTGAAAGTCTCAGCGGGCTTTATCGTTACTATTTCGCGCGTGTCGAGTATACCGCTCTCGGACTGTTTCGCTGGGGAAAAAAGGGAAAAAAACTAAGTAAACAAGCGGAAGCCGCAAAGAGCTTGAGAGAAGAGGAGCGATGGAGTCTGTTGGCGGCGTATTGCAGACTGTCATGGGGCCTGCTTGTCAGACGATTGCAGGCTGCCGAATGCCAGGCAGGGGTGTCGTTAGCCGACAGGGCAGTGCGCGAGGGTTGGGCGGGCCAAGCTGCTCAACCTGCCAGGACACCACCATCGCCATCGCCATCGCCATCGCCAGGCGGGGAGTTGCAGCTCCCTCGGAATGCTATGCACGCGCAGGTCTGCGCCTGCCGCGGTTGTCAGTAAAGTTGCAGGCTGGCAGCCGCATCTGCAGAGTCGCCAGCGACTTCCGGCGGCAGATTTCCCTGTCGGGACACCGATCCAAGCCCATCCAACGGAGAGGGGTGGTGCAAATGGCTGTCGGGGAGCTGCCGACGTACGATGACGACGACTATGTGGTCGTCGGGCTCGCGCATTGTTTCACCAAGGACGAGAGTGGGAAACTCGACGACGCCTTCGTCATCGAGCCTATACCTGCAGGAGGACTGGAATGCATGGAGAACGGTGGCGTGACGTGTTATAAGTACGTGACAGCCACACGAATGGGGAAGATCCTGTCACAGGACAAATCTGTACTTCCGGAGGAGTTCAGGAGTGGTCGATTTAGCGAGAGTTTCGACTTTCGCGCCAAGTGCGCTGCTCGCACGTGGAAACGACAACACCCTCAAGAGAATTTGCTGTAAGCCACAGCCACCGTCGTCATCCTCTTTTCCCCTTCCCCCCCTTTCCCCCCCCCCCCCCCCCCCCACCCCCCCCCTCTCTTCCCCCCCGCGACCTTTCCACACACACACACACACACAGAGGAGCAGCGTACACACGTGTGAATGCGCGCACGCACACACACACACACACACACACACACGGGTGCTTGCAAACTTTCCCAACTCACGTCTGTCTTCCTTCCTCTTGGTTTTCGTCTCTCTTCTTCCTTCTTTTTTGAAATGTTGATCGGGGTTCGAACCCGTGATCTGTTCTGTTTATCAACAGCTGCATGGGTGTTCCATTCGCCCACAATATTATGGGCTCGGTTTTCGTCTCGTTTCCCTTCGTCCGGGGCATGCAATGCATGTCTCTAACTACACACGTCTGACTTGTACGTGATCACGGAACAGGCACATTGGAAATGTGCTTGCCGTAAATAGACGGCCAGGTGCATTTTTTTTGGGTTTCCCGGGAGGCTACCGTCTCCCGCCGAACACAACGCACCCTTATTTTGGCCGTATCTGGCCGGAAATATAGCTTGTATACGTTCGCTTTTACGGTGCGTTACGTTCGGGGGAAGACGGTAGGTGCATGTTAGTGGCCTACTACCGGTAGTTGTTGGGGAATATTATTCTCAACGTGGTGTTTTTCTTTTTTTTTCTTTTTTTTTCCATCTCCCCTTTTCACCAAGTGCCGGCTTCACCACCTGGTCCATGTGGCTGACTGGTACACACCACACTTGTAACTGATTTTGATCAAACACAGAGAGCACGGGCTCGAATCCTGCTGGAATCAGACGAACACAATAATGTTGAAGGAAACAGAAATGCCGGCTTGAGCTTCGTGGAGCGCGGCTTACGTCATTGCGCCCCGCTCCGCGCCGGCCCGAGTGTGGAAGATCGTTTCCAGCACCCCTGGCGGCTCCAACGACAGCGGGATAAGGGAGGTACTGAAGTAAGGAGGGGAGAAAGGGAGGGAGAGAAGGGGGAAGGCAGGGAGGCAGGAACGGAGGCAGCCTGGGGAGCGAGGAAGGGAGGAAAGGGAGAAGGGAGGAGGGGAGAGAGGGATTGAGGGGGAAGGGAGGGAGGGAGGGAGAGATGGAGAGATGGAAAGAGAGGGCAAGAAAGAGAGGAGGAGGAGGTGAGCGAAGAGGGAGTAGCAGCGGAGGGGGGCGAGAGAGGAGAATAAGGTAGGCAGGATGTACATGAGTGGGGAGAGAAGGGAAGGACGAAGAAGGGGAAGCTGGGTCGGGAAAGGAGAGGGAGGAGAGAGGGAGGGAAGGAAGTGAAGAAAGGGAAGGTAGGGATGAGGAAAAGGAGGAAACAAATAGGGGGAGAAAGGAAGAGAGGAGGAAACGGGGGGTAGAGGGCAGAAAAAATTACGGAAAGAGGAAGGGGAGGGAGCAGGGAGGGCCCATAGTGAGGACGAGCGGGAGGAAGAACGAGGGGAAGGAGGGGAGAAGGAAAGGAGGAGGGACAGGGGGAGGGAGGGCAGTAAGGCCCTAGTTGCATTGCTCGCCATCCGCCAAGAATTCGAATGCATCTGGACAGAGATGATGTCCACATGCAATGAAGATGTTGGCGGATGGCGAGTAGTGCAACGAGGCCCTAAGTGAACTAGGGAAGGGAGGAAGGAGGGGAGGATGAGGGGGAGGAAGGCGAGGGAGGAAGGAGAGGGAGGAAGGAAAGGGAGGAAGGAGAGGGAGGAAGGAGAGGGAGGATGACGGAAGAAAAGCAGGGAAGTAATTGGACCGGGGAAGGGGAGAGGGAGGGGAGGAAGGAGAAAGGGCACAGAGACAACGGCAACCCTGCAAAGATTTCATCAGCAGAGATCAACACTAAAAAGATGCACAAAAGAAAGGAAAATATAGAAAAAGACAGCCCGCTTTCGTATAAGAACGGGGGCCGGAGGGGAGGAGGAGGAGGGAGGGAGGGAGGGAGGGAG